CTGCTTCTCCCTCTCCCACTCCCCCTGCTTGTGTTCCCTCTCTCGCTGTGTCTCTCTCTGACAAATAAATAAATAAAATCTTAAAAAAAAAAAAAGTTACTTTAAAAAAAAAAAAGGGATGTGAATGCTTTTCTGGCATGGCTTTAAAACTCTTGAGAGAATAGTTCCCAGCAAGGGGTCCCGGCCCTCTGTGAGCAATGAATGGCACCATTGTGGGATCAGGAGAATAGGCTCCAGTGCAGTTCACCTTACATTGCAACTCAGAGAGAGCCACCAAGTTCTCTTTGTTTAAGAAGAAAAAAGGTCCTCCTACCTTATAGGCTCGTGGTCAGTGGACTTCTTGCTAATCAAAATGAAAACTCATTTGACACTGAAGGAAAAACGATCACCTTTACTCATTTATTCATTCTGCACATATTTGCTGAGGACTTTCTGGGTGCTGGGCTCCACGGATTCTACAGACAGGAAGCGTCCACTCTCCTAGAGCTTCCCTTATGCCTTTCTGTTTTAGAATTTCATATGAATGGAATCATGTCACGTATACTCTTCTGGCTTCTTTTCCTTGGCATAAAGTTTTGTTTTATCCGCAGTGTTGTACATTTTCAGGCTGTGGACTGTTCCCTTGTATGGCTTTTTCCATAAATTGTTTATCCATCAACTTGTTGATGAACATTTGGGTTGTTTCTGGTTCCTGGCATTAAGAATAAGGCTTCAGTGGGGTGCGTGGGTGGCTCAGTTGGTTAAGCATCTGACTTCATTTCAGGTCATGATCTTGGGGTCCTGGGATCGAGGCCTGCGTTGGGCTCTGTGCTCGGCGGGGAGTCTGCTCCTCCCTCTCCCTCTCCCTCTCCCACTGTTCCTCCTCCCCGCTTGTGCATGCATGTGCTCGCTCTCTCTCAGATAAATAAATAAAATCTTTAAGGAAAAAAGAAGAATAAGGCTTCAGTGATCATCCACGGCCAGGTTTTTTTGTGCTCACTGCACTCATTTCTCTTGGGTCTATACCCTGGAATGGAATTGCTGGTCAGAGGGTAGGTGTGTGCTTAACCTCACTGGAGACTTCTGAGCTGTTCTGCAAGGTGGCTGTGCCCCTAGTCTCCCACCAGCACCCCCTAATGTTTCCCGAATTCTTGCTCTTCTGTATTCAAAGACCCTTTTCCCACCCCTGTTGGGCCAGGTGTTCACGTCTTGTCTCTCTCTCTCTATCTCTCTGTTTCTCCAGGTGCTCAGGAGATTTCCAAGCAAAATCCTGATTTGGTGAGTCTTCCTGTGACTTGGGGCCAGCTGCCTTGGCTTTGGGCTCTTCTGCTCTGTACGTCCCAGGTCCTTCCCTCTGCAGCTGTGTCGGGAGCCCAGGGAACTAAGCCCAGCTGTTGGGAGGGTCCCAGGCCCCCTACCGCTCCCTGATGCTTGACACAGCTCTTCCTGGAGCAGGCTGTCCGAGCCTCCCTGCTCTTCCCTTGTCTGTGAAGTCAGGGGGTCAGACCTCACAGGAGGGGGTCAGACCATCAGCATCGGCTGTGGGATTGAATCACTCCCACTCGTGTGTGGGGGTCTGGGCTCCATGCCGGGATACCGGGGAGCAGACCCCTTGTGTTCCTAGCCCCTGTGGAGCCATCAGAAGCTAGTTACACAGAAACATATCTCAGTCTCAGTCTCAGTCTCAGTCGTGTTAAGTACTGTGGCAAAAAGAACAGGCTGCTGTGAGAGGGGATTCCAGGGGACACGGGGCCCAGGGGCTCGCCTTCTCTCCAGAGGGGTGCCGTGAGACCCCAGCTGACACTGGTCCTCGGGCTTGGGCAGGCCTACGCCCTGAACGCAGACCCCTGTGGCCACTGCCTCATCATCAACAACGTGAACTTCTGCCTCGAGTCAAGGCTCACGGCCCGCACCGGCTCCGATATCGACTGTGAAAAGCTGCAGCGACGCTTCCGCTTGCTGCATTTCACGGTGGAGGTGAAGTGCGACCTGATGGCCAAGGTAGGGTCGCTGTCCATGGAGAGGTGGGGGAGGGGCGGGGCGGCGTCCTGCCGTACCCGAGCACAGCACCTGGTGTCCAAGAACGGTGGCTCTCGTGACTGTCACGATGGTCATTACTGCAGTGTTGGCCCCGGGAGCAGGGAAGGGGCTCTGCCCAGGCGGGCCCAGCGTGGGGACCGGATCCATCAGTGCTGCGGCTCATCTGCCACCTTCTCTCGCAGCAAATGGTCCAGGCTTTGGTGGAGCTGGCGCGGCGGGACCACAGCGGCCTGGACTGCTGCGTGGTGGTTGTCCTCTCTCACGGCTGTCAGGTAGACGCTCCTTGGGTAGCTGCCCCCAAGTGCTGAGCTGAGAGGCCCTGACGGAGCCCCGTCCCTTCCTGTGTCCTGGCCTTGTGGGAAGAGCTGTGGGGCCCCGTCTATCCCCTGTTGTCTTCCTGGGAGCCAGCCGGCCCTCTGAGCAGTTGGATGCTCCTCCTGGGTGGGGCTGTGTTCCTGGGAGAAGCCATCTGGGAAAGGCAGGGAGGAGATTCTGCCCACAGAGCTCCTACCCTGGATTTTATTCAGAGCCGGGCACAGCACACAGGAGCTCCCAGCTCCTGCCTCCATCCCGCTAGGCATTGTCCCAGGCCCTTTGCCGTTGCCTGGGTGTCAGGACACTGGGATCCACTCTAGGCATGGCCACTAACGTGCTGCGTCTGCGTCATTGTGGCCCAGCCCGTCCCACTGCCTGGGCCTCAGGTCCCCGAACTTTTCATGTGAGGGTTGGACAGGTCAGGGGCTCCAAGCTGGAGGCCTGTAGTCCCCCTGGGGGTTGCACAGTGTTTTCAAAAGCGGCAACTTTCTCAGAGAAATCAGGATTTCCAGCTTCTCTTGAAAAACCACAATGGTCTGGCCTTACTAGGCCACATCCTCACAGAGTGAAACTCTGGCCTGTAGCTGGGCAGGGACTGCCCCCTTTTCATTCATGGTGTGACCCCTGGACCAGCAGTACAGGCTTCACCAGGAACTCGTGAGAAATTCAGACTCTCAGGCCTTGCCCCAGACCTCTTCACGGGGAGCCTCTGCTTTGATAGGGTCCCCGTACGCAGAAAGTCTGAGAAGAACTGATCTAGAGCAGTGGTTCTCAATGCTTAGCTGCATCAGAGGCTCCTGAAAGACCGTATCGCTGGGCCGCACCACCAGGCTTTTGAGTTAGGTCTGGCAGGAGCCCAGGAATCAGCATGCCTTACAGGTTCCCAGGTGATACAGATGCCACTGGTCCAGGGACCACACTTTGAGAACCACCATTCTAGAAGAAGCTGGTCAGCGCTCTCCAGTTAGGCTAATGTTTTAGGCACATGAGTCTGAGACCTCTGGAATAGAGACTGCCTAGGACCCATCCAGAGCCTACCTCTGTCTAAGTCCGGCTTGTGCCCCTGGCTGGGACCTTCTAAACGCTTGGCCCCGCATCGCCTCTGAACAGTGTGTTAGATTCCTACCCCAGCTTCTTGGTTTTGTAACCAGGATTTTTGGTCTCCTAGGCCAGCCACCGCCAGTTCCCAGGGGCGGTTTATGGCACGGATGGATGTCTTGTGTCCATCGAGAAAATTGTGAACATCTTCAATGGAGCCAGCTGCCCCAGCTTGGGAGGGAAGCCCAAGCTCTTCTTCATCCAGGCCTGTGGTGGGGGTAAGCAGGTCCTCAGTCTCCCTGCCGATGACTCTAGTGGGAGGAGCCGCCCCTGCCTCCTTCTCTCTCCAGTCCCTCCTGATGCCCAAGGGGCAGTCAGAGGGTCCTAAACATGGCCCCTTTGCCCGAACGGCAGCACCTGCCTCTGCCTCGAGTAGGTCTCAGCTTTGTCCAGCCTGTAGAGGTTAGAGCCTTCCAGCTCACGGTGCAGGAGCCTCTGGGGCTCATTCAGCTCTGGCAGCTTCAACTCCAGAGACTTGGCAATCACAAAGCAGAGGAGAGGAAAAAAACCTCTTTCATTTTCCTTATCACTCCCCCGACCTCCGTCAACTAGACCTTCTTTCTGCTGTCGCAGAGAAAGGGAGGCCAGAGCTAAATTAAATTCCCAAGGGCCCAGGTACTGGAGATTTCAGTAATATTATGTGTGTGTATATATACATAAACATATATATGTATATATATGTATACATACACACAAAATATATATATATATTTTTTTGTTTGTTTGTTTTAAGAGAGAGAGAGAACACGAGCAGGGGGGTGGGGAGGGACAGAGGGAGAGGGAGAGGGAGAGAGAATCCCAAGCAGATTCCATGCTGAGTGCAGAGCCTGATGCAGGGCTCATTCCCAGGGCCCTGAGATCATAACCTGTGGCATATACTTTTTTTTTTTTAAGATTTATTTATATATTTTAGAGCAAGAGCGTGGGGGCGGTGGGGAGGGACAGAGAGAGAGGGAGACAAGCAGACTCCCTGCTGAGCGGGTGGGGGGGTGGAGCCCGATGCGGGGCTCGATCCCGGGACCCTGAGATCATGACCTAAGCTGAAACCAAGAGTTGAATGCTTAACCGGCTGAGCCACCCAGGTGCCCCAGCAGCATATTTTTCTGAATGTGTTCATTTGTCCCATACTGTTCCACGTTGGCGGGGGTAAGGTGAGGGGGTGTGGGTTGTCTAGGAGAGCAGGCTCTGGTCACATGACATCTGGTAAGTGTTTATTGAGTATCTGCTGTAGACACCCAGCTGTGTGTTGGGTGCTGGGGATCCAGGATAGACAGGGTCTCTGCTCCCTGGAATTTTTAATTTGACTGGAAATGTATCAAGTCACTGTCGTGACCCATGCCCATAGCTTGGCCGTGAGTGACTGGGAATACCAGGTTTAATCTTGGTGGCTACTTATTTCCTGTACAAACATGGGCCAGTTAATCTCTAGAAGTCTTGGCCAGTGGGGATAATAACAGAACCTATCTCCTAGCATCGCTATCAAATATCTAGTGCGTGAATCAGTGCATGTACAGTACTTAACACAGTGCCCGGTTCATTTTTGTAGCTGCAGACTTGGACTCTCCCTGTCCCCCGACCCCAGAAGACCCCGTGTTGCATAGGAGCCCTCTGTCCCCCTGTCCCCAGCACAGTTACCTCAGAGTTATGGTAAGAGGAAGGTGGAAAGGCTGCTGCTCTTGGGGTCGTAGAAATCCTCTCCAACTCATCGTTTTTCTTATGATCCCAAATGTAGTCAGGTGATGTTCTTACTCTGAAGCAAATGGTTCTTCTTTCTTGCATGAGGAGAATGAAAGATGAAGTGGGCAAGGGAACCATGGATGGAGGCTGAGCTGGGATGCTGGCTTTCTGGGAAAGTTATGGTTAGCTGGTCTTCAGGCTCAGTGCCTCCTCATTGTCCATTCTCAGCAGCATGGAGGGTCTTTGCAGGGTCACTCTCTGGACCCCTTAGCGAACCCACAAGGTCTCCTGCAGCCTCTGTTCTTCCCTCACAGCACTTTCTCTTTGTATTGAGATGGCCTCACCTCCTGCTCAGCTCTCCCAGGGCAGGGCCAGGCCCATCTGCCTTCAGCCAGGTCCCTTCAGCCTGGCACAAAGCTCACTGGATGGTTGTATCTTCTGTGGATTCTAATTATTTGATTTTGAAATAGAACCGTATAAAAATTACTGTGAGCAAAATTTTAAATAATATCGATTCCCTCCACTAAAAAATCCCCAACTCGATGGGAGCAGCAAGATTTCAGAGCTGGAATGCAGTGATTAGGATGCTGCCTTTGGAACTGTGGTCCCTGCTCTGTCCCCAGGCCACTGTTGACCTTGTGTGTAACGCCGTGGCCACATGGGGGCGGTACAGCGGCTGAGAACAGAAATGCTGACCTGCCCCGCAATCTGCGTCTGCGACCTGCGGGGCGTCCTCTTGTTTACAGGCATCTGAACATCTGCCCTGGATTTTGGTGACTTTTGGGTTGCTTTTGCAAAATTCACTGTTGTTACAGTTTCAAACAGTTTTAAAATCCTTTGACAAGTCGCGCACCCCTTCCAAGAGGTAGCGCACGCCCCAGGGCAGAAACGTGCGCCTCAGAGTTGGTAGTGCTGGTGTGGCATATGGCAAGTAGCGTGATACGGCGTGGCCCAGCCCGATGCACTTGGCCGGAGCCGAGCAGCCTCTGTGAGGCCCAGCTGTTCATTTTGGGGCAGCCCGTCTTCAGACTTCTAGAGCTCGTGCTGAGAAGGCAGAAGGAAGCACAATGTGCCACGTGGTTGTGGATTTTCTGTGCTGAGGGGACAGCGCCTCCTCCTGCTGGGTGTTCACTCTTACGGGGAAATTAGTCTGCCTTACAGGGGGTTCGAGAATCTCCTTAAGGACACAGCTGTGCATAAGATACATAACCCGTGGGCGAGGCTTTCACCTCAGAGTTGTCGAATGAGGAGGACACGTGAATGGAGATGGAGTTCGCATCCCCTGTCTGCCTCTCTCTCTCTCTCTCTCTGTCTCTCTCGTATTCCCCTCTCGGATCCCCCTCTCGGATCCCCCTCTTGGATCCCACTGTGTCTTCTCCGCTTTCCCCAGGCGGTCCCTCTGCCCCCCTCCGTCTCCTTAGGCCATTCCTGCGGCTTCCCCCACCACAGTGCCCCCGACCCCGGCCACCCACATCTCAGGTCCCGGCTCCTGTTCCACTTCAAGTCATTCCCAGACACCCAGGGCAGATTCCGGAATCTCGGCCAAGAAAACAACCAGAAGCAGGGACCTGAGTAAGCAGGGGAACAGCCCAGCTCTCACACGGCTCAGAAGCCCAGGCTTTGCAGGCTTGGGGGCCTCCATGGAAGAGGCAGCGGGGCTGAGAGGCAACACACAGAGGGCAGAATCCCGGCCCTTGAAGGTCAGCTGCGAGAACAAAGGCAAATCGCCCAGTTTCTGGGTCAGATGTATGGGGTGAGAGGTCAGTAGATGTTGGGGCTATTATATGGGGTTGCCAGAACCATCCTTGTCCCGTCTCTGCCCCCTGCAGTTGGGACTCCAGCTTCCCTGGGTGAACTGTGACCTCCTTCCCTCCTTGCTGTTTCCCACCACAGATCCAGCCGCGAAACCCGCCTCCTCTCCTGCCCAGGGTCTGCCTGACCTGCTGCTTCCCCCACCAGGACTCTTCCCTCTCCTATCAGAGCCTGGGTCACAGTCACCTGCCCCAGAAACCATTCCCTAAGGAACCCTCCGGGCCACTCTGTCTTCTGTCTGCTTTTTCTGAAGCTCTTTGTAGCTGCTTTCTGTCTGGAGTGGCCCATTGCACCCTGCAGTGATTCCCTGGAGCTCGTCTTGGGAGACCTCCTGCCATGTCATCACCCCGACGGCTCTGTGGCAGAGCTGTGGGTGGCCGGAGTCCTGCCCTGACCCCTCTGGTTTCCAGGTCTGCCACAGCTTTGGGGGGAATTCGGAATTTGAAACCGAAAAGACAGAAAATGTGAGTGCAGAAATCATCCAGGATCTTGCGAGCCTGACACAGCGGTCTCATTTCTGCCTCTTATCTGTGGATGGTGGCCCGCGGGCACAGTCTGCTTTTTCTCATCCTGTGTTAGCCCGTGAGCATTTCTTCACATTGCTGCGGTCCTCATCACCGCTAGTTCAGAGGGCTTTATAATGCTCCGTTTTAGTGATCGGCACTCACTAATCCATTTCCCTAACGTCCGCCATTGAGGTGATACCCAATTTTTGGCTCCCGTGACCACAAATGTCTTTGCATAGAGGGTGTTGACGTCACTTCTTGAATTAGTTCCTGGGGAAAGTACAGGGTCAGAGGGTGTAAACATCTCCACAGATCCCATGACCTATGGTTTGCCGCCGCCTTTGATTCCCTACAAGGATCTGAGATACCTTTGCGAGTACGAGTAATATAGTAGAACAAAATAACGAGGGAGGCAGGGGAGATGCAAGGACAGAAGAGTACAACCCATTCAGCAGACATACGATGGACAGAGAGACGAGAGATGTCTGGAAGGAAACACACGGCTTGTTAATAGAGGCCGCCCCCCTGAGAACAAGATCGAATAATGCTACTTGTTTTTTAATGACATAAAGTTGATCATTTTAACCGTTTTAAAGTATACAGTTCAGTGGCAGTGAGTACATGAGCACACATGCCCGTGACCTAATTCTAGAACTTTCTCATCGCCCCGAACAGAAGCTTCATACCCATCAGCACTCACTCTCCGTGCCTGCCTCCTCTCAGTCCCTGGCAATGACTCGCCTGCTTTCTTCTTTGTGGTTCTGCCCATTCTGGGTCTTTCACGTACACGGAGCCAGAGACGTGGCCTTTGGCATCTGGTTCTTGCGCTTGGCATGTTTCCAGCGCCCGTCCACAGTGCACCAGGGGCCAGCGCTTCCTTCCTTTTCAAGCCAGAATGAAATTCCACTGGATGTGTGCAGCCCGTTGTTTATCCATTCGTCTGTCGTGGACGTGGGTTGTCTCCACCGTTTGTCTGTTGTGAATAATGCTGCTGTGAACATTGCTGTGCAAGGTTTTGTCTGAACACCCATTTTTGGTTCCCTTGGGTGTTACCTTGTAACTTGTTTTTACAGCTTTTTAAAAAAATTGTGATTAGATATAATTTTACCTAATGTATGTGTAAAACTTTTGTTATAGTAAAAAGTAAAGGTCTGGGGACTCCTGGGTGGCTCAGTCGGTTAAGCATCCAACTCTGGATTTCGGCTCAGGTCGTGATCTCAGGGTCGTGGGTTTGAGCCCCGTGTTGGGCTTCATGCTCGGTGGGGAGTCTGCTTGAGATTCTCTCTCTCCCTCTCCCTCTCCCTCTGCCCCTCCCCTGCTCACACATGCATGCTCTCTCTCTCAAATAAATAAATCTTAAAAAAAAAAAAAAAAGAAAGGCAAAGCTTCGGTTTCTGTTTCTTGCTGATATTTGCTCAGCCCCGGAACCCTGGCTCCAGAGGGAGTGCGGTGGTCTCAGGCTGGGACAGGTCGGATGTCACCAGGAAGTGAGGAACAGGAGCTTTGGTCTGTGTGTGTCAGTGATGAGTGGTGTGTCTGTCTTTCGTCCCTGCAGAGCAGAAAGACCATGGGTTTGAGGTGGCCTGCGCTTCCCCTGAAGACAGGACCTCTGGCAGTGACCCGGAGTCAGACGCTGTCCTGTTCCAGGAAGGCCCAGGCCCCTTTGACCAGCCAGACGCCGTGTCTAGTTTGCCCACACCCAGTGATATCTTCGTGTCCTACTCCACCTTCCCAGGTGAGCGCATCAGGAGAGCTCCTCCTCCCAGCCGGCGGGTCCCCCCGCCCCGGTCTGCCCTAGAAGCAGCTGTGTTGTGAAGGAAAGGCGTGGGGGTGAGTCTCAGCTCTGCCTCTTGCCATCTGTGGGACCCTGAGCAAGTTACTTCGCCTCTCTGAGCCTCAGCTCGGGGCGAGGCAGGCGAGGCGCTTAGGATGCAGAATTTAAGGGGGCACCTGCTCTTGGGTTTGTATGCCTCACTTGCCTCACCCTTGTCTTGGTCCTGCCTCGGTCTTGTCATCTTTAAAATGGGGAGAGCAGTCCCACTTCAGGGGGCGCCCTGGGGGTTCGAGAAGTGGTTAGTGCCTCGCTGAGCACGGTGCCTGGCACGCAGCAGGTGTGACGAGCGTTAGTCTCCTTCCTTTCTTAGCCCTCCGTGACTTCTCAGAGCCTTGTTCTCCTTGCTGGGAAAGCAGGAATCACAACCAAAGGCCCAAGGTGGTGGGGAGGGTGAAGTAAGGTCCTGACCGGGACAGAGCGCAGGGATGTGGGCCGCTCCTGCTGGACGTGTGAATGGGCCCAAGTCCAGAGGCGGCTCCAGCCTGCACGTGGGGGTTGGCTAGCGGCTCTCCAATAAAGTTCAGCCTCTCTGCTTCTGCAGGCTTTGTTTCCTGGAGGGATACCAGGAGAGGCTCCTGGTACGTGGAGACCTTGGATGGGGTTTTTGAGCAGTGGGCTCACTCTGAAGACCTGCAGACCCTCCTGCTCAGGGTGAGCATGGCCTTCCTCTGGGGAAGGAGAGGGAAGGCTGCTGGGAGGGGCATGCGTCCTCCTCGGGAGAGGGCGGGAAGGGGGGCAGGGCCCCAGGCCCACACCAGAGGTTTCTTCTGCATCTTGGCTTGCCATGAGGTTGGTGCTTCTGCTTCTCTTAATTGCGAGGTGTTACTATTACGTGACATTGGCCCGTTGTTCAAAGGGCTGCCTTCCCTGGCTCCTCTGACGTCCCAGGCTGACACTGGCATCCCCACTTGCAGAGCCAGTCCTCAGCGCAGGGCAGGATGGCGCAGTGGCCAGAGCGTGGCATTTCCTGAAGGCAGGTCGTGGGGCCTGCACCCTTTGCCCCACAATGTAGTCTTCTACCCTTGACCCTCAAGAATTATGATTTCTTCAGTATATGCCCTTCTCGGGGGACCCCAGTGAGAGAGCGGGAAGGATGGCCTGATAGGGTCCCAGCCTCTCTCCTTGGGATCCTGCTCAGAGCAGCTGCTTCCTCCATGGGTCTCAGAGCACACGTGGGCCTCTCCCACTTGCTCAGGTGTTTTGTATCGTGAGAAGGGTCTGGAAGGGCTGGGACCATGCCTTCCTCCTGGAGAGGCTCTGGCTTTGTGCTTTGTGGTGCGGAGCGGAGGAGAAAGGAAAAGCAAGTACAGACTTGAGGGGGCCCCATGCACTGTGGCTCTGGGCAGGTGACCTCAGAAGCAGCCGAGCCCTGCAGGGTCAGGCTGGGAGTCCGTCAGGGCCAAGCGGTGCACTTGGCTCCTGGACCTAATCTCTTCTCTCGGCATTTCTTGAAGCAAACCTCTCAATCTGATTTGAACTTTGTGAAGTTTTGAAGTTTGAAATTTTGAATTTTGAGTTTTCTAAACTTACAATGGATATACTCTTCTTTCAACACCCTCCCTCCCAACTCAAGGAGGCTGCAGGTTTTTAAAATTGTTCTTAAGCTTTTATGTATGTATGTATGTATTTATTGAAGTATAGTTGTCATATGTAGTAATGTAATGTGAAGTTTCAGGCATACAACACGGTGACTTGACAATCCTGACGTCACCACGATAAGTGTAGTTGCCATACAAAGTTATTACAGTATTATTGACTATATTCTCTATGCTGCACTTTTCATGCCCGGAAGTTTGTACCTTTTAATTCCCTTCTCCTACTTTGCCCATCCCCCCTCTGCCCTGCCCTGCAGCATTATTGACAACAGACAAGATTTGGAAGCAGCCTAAGCATCCGTCCATAGATGCATGGATAAAGAAGACATGGTCTAGATGCACAATGGAATATTACTCAGCCATAAAAAAGAATGAGATCTCCCCATTTGTGACAACATGGTTGGGGCTAGAGGGTATTATGCAGGGTGAAATAAGACAGAGAAAGACTAATACTGTATGGGTTTCACTTATATGTGGAATTAATTGTTTTTAAAGATTTTATTTATTTATTTATTTGAGAGAGAGAGAGAGAGAGAATGCACAAGCAGGGGGAGCGGCAGGCAGAGGGAGAGGGAGAAGCAGACTCCCTGCCAAGCGGGGAGCCCGATGTAGGGCTCAGTCCCTGGACCCTGGGATCATGACCTGAGCCGAAGGCAGACACCCAACCGACTGAGCCACCCAGGTGTCCCTTATATGTGGAATCTAAAAGACAACCAACAGACAGAAACAGACTCATAGACACAGAGTACAAGCCGGCGCTATGTCAGGGCTGGGTCAGTGGCCATTCCCCTGCAGCCCCTCCCTGGACCTCTGACTTCCATCGAGAGCCCTCACAGACTTCCCCGTGCTCATGTTTTCACAGGTCGCTAATGCTGTTTCGCAGAAAGGGATTTACAAACAGATTCCCGGTTGTTTCAATTTCCTCCGGAAAAAACTCTTTTTTAAAATGTGATGCGGGCCAGAGCCCCTCCGCCTCTCACCCTGCTTTACTGTTAACCCCAAAACCTTCCTGCTCCGGGCCCACGGCAGCCGAGGCCAGGTCTGTTCTATGGCTGTGGCTGTCGTTCTTTCAAGGGGTTTGTGGCCTCTCGTGGGTCTGCTCTTTCCCCACCAGTGCCAGACAGGCTCTTAGCAGCTTCCACGTTGGAGACAAATGACCTGCGAGAGGAAGAGGGGCAGAAGACTACCAAGGACACTGCAGGACTCTTCCCAGCAGCCCTTTCTCCAGCCAGTGGCTGGGGCCTGTGACCCCATGGTTGTCTCTACAGGAAGGCTTTTGACCTCAGTACTATTGACATTTGGGGCCAGATAATCCTTTGTTGTGGGGCCGTCCTGTGCGCTGTAAGATATTGAGCAGCGTCCCTGGCCTCTGCCCATAGATGCCTGTACACCCCTCCCTGAGTAGTAATGACCAAAAATGTCTTCAGACACTGCCAGATGTCCCCCCGTGGGGCCCCACTTGAGAACCACTGATCCAAAGGAAGTTTTGGTTACAAACAAATCAGCATCTCTCTTAGATCAGCAAGTATGGGGCTACTGGAGTCTGAACAGTTGGAGTCTGCAAATCCTAAGTGAAGTTTTAAAAGTTACCTATTTTTCTTATGTTCTAGTATGCTTAAAAAAATCTTAGGTGAATATGGACCCCCCCTTTTTTTTTTTTTTTGCCTATTTCCCCCCCTCACTTTGTTCCAACTGTTTGTTTTTCCTTATAAAGGAGATTTTTTGCTTTTTTTAATTTTAATTTTTTTAAAATTTTTTAAATTTTCTTTTTTTTAAAGATTTTATTTATTTATTTGAGAGAGAGAATGAGAGAGAGAGAGCAGGAGAGGGGGGAGGGTCAGAGGGAGAAGCAGACTCCCTGCAGAGCAGGGAGCCCGATGTGGGACTCGATCCTGGGACTCCAGGATCATGACCTGAGCCGAAGGCAGTCGCTTAACCAACTGAGCCACCCAGGCGCCCTTAATTTTTTTTTTTAAAGATTCATTTATTTGAGAGAGAGAGAGTGCACGTAGAGAGGGGAGGGGCAGAGGGAGAGGGAGAGAAGGTCTCCAACAGACTCCACGCTGAGCTCAGAGCCCAATTCCAGGCTTGATCCCACGACCCTGAGATCACGACGTGAGCCGAAACCAGGAGTCAGATGCTCAACTGACTGCGCCATACAGGCGCCCCAGATTTTTGCTTTTTTAAAAACATTTCCCCGCCTCTTACTTTATTTGAACCCCACCCCGTCCAGAAAGGTGACTGGGCTGGGAGCTGTGTCCTCAGGGCAGTGAAGTCACCGGTCTAAGGGAACACAGGTAAGGCCCCATCCCTGAGGTCTTGTAAGCTCTCCTGACCCTGGCCAATTTGTAGCTTTCAGGGCCTTGGACATGAGGCTTATTTGTTAAGACTCACCAAGATGGGATTCATGAGGTTGTCACCTCATTATCATTTTCCTCCTGTGACCTTTCCAAGTCTGAACTAGTCCCCGGGACTACTGGTGGTTAGTAATTTGCAGTCACCTGCAGGACATATAAAAGAAAATAATCAGGTTGACCCAGCAGAGCAGAACTGCGCTTGGCAGTTTCCTGGCTTACTCCCTCCAGGCTCTGCGCTCGCTGCTCATGTGAATCAGGTGGTCTTCGCTTGGGGGGCCCTAGTGACGTTCAGGAGAACGAGATGTTATCACAGCTCTTCATAGACCTTCTGGGGGTACTTAGCCTGAGGTTCTGTTTGGACTTCAGGGCAGCGGGCCTACGAACTCCTAAAAATCAGATGCCGAATGTATGGATGGTTTTTAGATGTCATTTGTTTCTCAAAGCGATCGAGAGCCCCGGAAGGGTTAAACCAGCAGTGCTGTTTGCAGGGCACTGTTCTGTGTTGCTTTTAGAGGCCGTTTAGCAGTATCTGTTGAACCTTTTACTGGGCCAACTCTGTCATTCAGTGATGCTGCTGGAGCTCCCCAGCGCAGATACTTGGCTCTTGTGCAAGAGTGTGTGTCCAAGGGGGTTCACTGCAGCAATGGGAGAGAGGACGATAGGGAACTGATGAAAGCGTCACTTGTTATGGTCATAATACGGAATATTACTGAGCTGTCCAAAAGGATGACCTGATACGTAAAATGTGATACGGTGTTAGGCGAAAAGACTCAGTTGCAGGACAGTATGAAGAGTGAAATGCTATTTTTGGTTAGAAGATATTCTATATTAATGTACATAGGGAGATACTTGATATAGGCATATACATAAAGTCCGGAAGACCATCCACCCTGCTGTTAATGGTGATTATCTCTGGGAGGTGCGATTGGAGATGTAAAATGAGGGGGACTTTCCTTTTTTTTACTGGGTACACTCCTATATTCTTCTAATATTCTGACAAAGACAATGTATTACCTTCTCAAATAAAAATAAACATTCAGCTGCTGGATGCTGAAGATGCATGTGTTGCTGGCGTTCCGTGAACATGTGTTGAAAGGATGAATGCCCTTGGCCACCTGTCCCCCATCACCTCCCTGCTCATATGTTTCGTTGGCAGCTGCCTGACCTTGCCCCCCCGCCCCCTCTCCCCCTGGGTCTGGGTTTGTGCGGGCGGGTGTCCCCGGCTGGACACAGCACATCCTGGGCTGGGAGAACTGCGAGGTTTCAGCAGCCTCTCTGCAGCTGCTGGGGCAGCCTCCACCAGACGACAGCTGCCTGCTCGGATGTGCCGTCCCGGAGCCTGTTACCGGGCACGTGTACTTGTCCCGGCTGCCGTCCCGTGAGCAGGGGCCTCTGCCCAGCTGCCTTCCCCGTTGAGCCCCTCCAGCATCTGGCCATGCTTTCAGCTGTGACCTGCTCTGTGGTGCCTGTCTGTGGCTCGGAACAGCTAATGCTGGGACAAAAAAGGACAGTTGCCCCGCCGGCCCCTGCTTTGGGTCCCCAAGGTGCTGCCAGGACCAGCTGCTCGGTGGTGACTCCTGCAGCAGCTGGGGCTGGGAAGGGCCCCAGGGTTTGGCTGGGGAAATGGCCCAAGCTAACCTTCCAGCCGCCAGTGGGTTGGATGGGCTCCTTTGAAATGTTGGTGGGAGCCTCCAGTCCTGCACTCGGATTTTCCTTTGCCCCAACGGAATCACGGCTCCCCCCCCCCCCCCCCATCGTCCCCCATCCCCGGCAAAGAGTTGCCCCCAGACAGACAAATGAACAAGGAGCCGGCACGACGATGAGACTCGGAGACAGCCACCTGCTCATTTTGGCGGTGCCCATTTGACAGTATAGTTTCCCTCCTGCGACCGCATGCTCGTGCTGTGGTTTCATACTGGAATTTTATTTTTTATTTTTAAAAATTTATTATTTTTATTTTTTTTTAAGATTTTATTTATTTGACAGGGACAGCGAGAGAGGGAACACAAGCAGGGGGAGTGGGAGAGGGAGAAGCAGGCTTCCCGCGGAGCAGGGAGCCCGATGCGGGGCTCGATCCCAGG